AATTCGGTAACGGTACCAAAATTTTCCTAGTTTAAGGCAAGTAACCGCCAATGAGTTCTTTTGTTTGCTTTTACTGAAGAGTCACCCTGACACGGCGATGCCAGCGAGTATACTTAGGCCTACAATTCAGGGTTAAATCACCTGTATGAATATATAAATATATAGTCCGTATGATAATATTATAGGAATGCTTTCAATTCTAACCCTGTACAAGAGTCCGTGTTCTATCTTTATTCACAATGACAGTGCGTGAGTGAGTTCTTCATATTCTTTCATGATCTTCAACATGAGAAACTAAAGAACAAAAAGATAAAAGTAGCCAGCGGCAGCATACATCATGGGGCCCTTTCGTGATTTCCAAATACGTGGGGGATGACGCAAGGAGATAAGCAAGCGACTCGTATAAATAGTTGGCGAATGTTACGCTCGCCATGGTCCACCTGCCGCCATGACGTCTCGGGGTCTTCGCAAATTGTCCTTCTTCCTCGGCCTCTGCCTCGCCGCCCACGTGGCGTCGGGCGAAGTCGCCAGGTCCTTCGTCTTTGACTTCAAAAACGACATGGAGGGATGGTTGTCCTACAGAGGGTCGTGGCGCTGGTCGGATCGTGACAGCTTGGCCAACACCCTCCCCGCCGATTCCATAGATGACGGCTTCGCTGTCGTGGACACGGTGGGCAGCGACGAACTGTACACCCCGTACTTCAACGCTACCTCCGGCGCCACCTTCACCCTCACGTTCTTCCTGCGATCGCGCTGGGAGGGCTCCAACAGCATGTACGTCGACATGCAGAAGAGGGGCCAGCAGATGACGCTGTTCATCGATCTCAACGACTACTCCAGTCAGTTCTCCAGCTCTTGGATTACTGTGACGGGAGAGATTCCTCCTTCCGAGGAAGATGTTATGGTGAGCTTATCCAGTATCTGTTCGTCATTTTATAATTTTTTAATCCTTTCACTCTGTCTTATACTGAAACGCTTTTGCACAAATACATTACTTATATAACAATGATATATACTAAAATTGGGTATTTGAATTGCCAGCTAATCGTGTTCTGCTACAATGGAGACGTAGCGCCTGCCGGCTCCCTCATGTACGGCTGTGCGATCGACCAGATCCAGATTGACCTTCATGGAGACGAAACAACCACTCAGACTTCGACAGTCGCTACGACCACATCTCCTGAAACTACAGATGCATCTACTAAAGCTCCAGAGACAACAGCTGAACCCACTGAAGCCCCTGAGACAACAGCTGAACCCACTGAAGCCCCTGAGACAACAGTTGAACCCACTGAAGCCCCCGAGACAACAGCTGAACCCACTCAAGTCCCAGAGACGACGGAGGGACCAAACAGGATACTAGAGTACAACTTCCAGTCCAGTGTCCAGGGCTGGACGCTGAGCCAGATGAACGGGGCCGCCTGGAAGAGGGTCGAGTTCGAGGGCGCCAGCCACCAAGTTTCGCCTCCCCCTGAAGGTCCCTGGGTTCTGCAGGTCTTCCCTGAACACATCTTCGCAGGTAGGTGACGTAGTAAGGAACAGGGGATACTGAATGAGATGGAATTGTGAATATAATTACAGTAGAATCCATGGGCTTGGTGTTGGTAGTAAGAATGGTTAATGTCGGTTTGTTGTTTTATGCATCTTAGTTACGTTACTGTGACATGGCTAAGATAAAGGGGAACTATTTAAGAACGGTCGCACCTCCAACGTTATTTTTGAAAAAGAGTCTATTTCTTTTGTAAACGATACACTGGGATAAAAACTTCCATGGGGACTGTATGTATGCAAGATCAGTTCCATAATAACCCTCGTTTACATAGAAAAGGAAGGAGGCGAATTCCATCAAAACCTTTTAATAAAATAACAACATACTACTCAGCCATGGCAATGAAATCTCCTTCATATTAAAGGAACCGCCCTCGCTCAGAGCCCAAAACTCAGGGCTATCGGAAGCTCACTGACCGTCGACCTCACCTTCTGGATGGACGGGACGAAAGACCTCCCCACCAAGTTGAAAGCTCGTAGACGGGAAGGGTTCAGGTGAGTAAGGCGCAAGCGAATGTGCATTCACTTGCAAGCAAGCACTCTTACGGAGGCAAGCATTCATTCATTATATCAGAAAATACAATTACAATAACAACATTCATCAAATACACTCTCTTTTGATGCAGTACCTTTGACGTCGAACCAATTATGAACCTTGATCCGTACGGAAACCAGATGAACTACGAATGGGTTATGTTCAGGGCCTCCATCCACGATCTGGTCCCTGGAGAAACATTTACAATCACTCTAGGTCGGTCGTTAAAGGAATTCTCCATTTTTGGTTATTTTTTTTTAAAGATTTATATGAGAAACAAAGTTATTGTATGATTTATATACAGTGCAACACCACTTCAATATCAAAAACTAAGTTTATATCCAGCTGCAGAAATTATATAACTAGGATAAACAGGGAACAGGCATAGCCACAACTCATAATCTTAGACGAAACATT